ATGCACTTCACGGGTAGGTAGTTGGACAGTAGGCACGAGTAGTCTTCAGGATTCAGCGCAGCACTCCGGAGGAGCGCTGCAGGGAGTAGCTTAGCGCTAGCAGTAGTCTTCAGCACTGGGCGCTAGTAGCCATGGCAGTAGTCTTCAGCGCTGGGCGCTAGTAGGTGGTAGGTAGAGTTGGGAGAGATGGCTGGCGGAGGCCAGCGAGACTTACCTGTGGCGCCATAGCTCCAGCTCCATCTTCGAGGTACCTGCATCAAGGCGCCAACTTCACAGGTTAGTACTGGACTGAGAGAGAGAGAGAGAGAGAGAGAGAGAGAGTTCTTCTTCCTCTTCTTCTAAGTCCAGCATCTCTTCTTCCCCTCTCACCACCTGACTTCTCAGTATCCGCGGACTACTACAGAGAGAGAGTTGTGACTTGGGACTTGACGACATTGGATCCAGACTTGACATTTGGGATTCAGACATTTCGACGAGGGACTATTTGGGCCTGTGCCGAAGACTTGGTGTTGACGACATTCCCATCTTCCCCTCCTCTTCGTCTAACCCCCTTCTTCTTCGTCTGTGTATGGTAGGGGCTGGCGCAGTCTTCCTGTGTGAAGCGCCAGACCCCATTCACACCATGTAACGATGATGATGATGTATGTTCAGGGCTGCATTTCAATATTGATTGTTCGGATCATTGGTATCTAAGTCTTCCGCTGTGCTATCTTGTACTTTGTATTGAGGGGTTGGTTCTTGTTCTGGTCTGCACCGTTACAGTATGCAACAGTTTGGTATCGGAGCGGACCTCTCATTCAGAGGACCCGCTCAATCAAATAGCCAGCTTGCTTGATCTATTGATTATTGGTTAGTAAATCAAGTAGGACTTCGTCAAATCTCTGAATTTTATTTTTTTTTCTCGCAACAACTATCTGAAATTTCTGATATTCGCATTTCGTTTTACCTGAAAATTTCTGATATTAGTATTTCGTTTTTAGTAGTTTTTACGTAACAAATATCTGAAATTTTCTGATAAATCGCATTTCGTTTWGTCTGAAAATTCCCGATAGTAGCATTTCGTTTCTCTGATATTTCCAATACATAGCTGAAAATTTCTGACGTTAGTATTTCGTTCTCTAGGCATATTGGGACAACGATAGAAGTGGTCATATTCTCGAAAACTGGAATTATTCTTTTCTGAAAATCGAATTTCCATTCTATCTCGCAATGTTTTTTTTGAAAACCGAAATCTTGCCAAGCCTACCAACATTTCGATAGGCATATTCGGAGGTTGCCATATTCTCAGAAACGGGATTTAGTTCTTTTCTGAAAATCGCATCTCTATTCTACCTCGCAAATTTTTTTTTCAATATCGCATTTTGTGAAAGCCGAAACTTTGCGGAACCTAGCCTAGAGCTCGTTCATAGTACTCTTCTGACATGTCTCATTCATAATAGATCTACAGATATATACCAAAAAAAAGAAGAAAAAAAAAAGGAAGTAGTCCTCTTGTATTTTTTTTATTGTTTATCTGTTGATTAGGACCGGAGGAAAGTATTGTTGGGTTGGTTGCCTACCTACGTTTTCCCTCCCACCCACCCCTTTGCATGCATTTCCGAGTTGGTACAGAGCCACATCAGCAGTGCCACATAAGCAGTGCCACATCAGCAACAGTGCCACGTCAGCCACAGGGCCACATCAGCAGTGCCACGTCAGCAGTGCCACGTCAGCAACAGTGCCACGTCAGCAGTGCCACGTCAGTAGTGCCACGTCAGCCACAGTGCCACGTCAGCAGTCCCACGTCGTCAGCAGTGCCCCGCCACCATGACGGGCGCAGCTCTGGGCATGCCAGGCCAACTGGCCAACGAGTCTCTTGCCGACTACAAACAGCGGTTCCAGGCTCAGCTCACTCTGATCGAGGCTGAGGAACAGCGCCAGCTAGCAGCCGAGGCTGCCCGCCTACMGGCTGAAGCAGCGGCAACAGCTGAGAAGCAACGGCTACAGGCCGAAGCAGACGCAGATAACCAGGCACACCGCAAGGAAGCCCAGGTTCTGTTGCAGCGGCATGAAACCGCGAGCATTGAAAGACTCAAGTTCTGGCACTTTGAACCCAATGGCGATGACGCGACACCGGAAGAGCAGCATAAGGAGTTCCTCTCCAAACTCGTGGCATGGTTGTTGTACTGCTCGGCGACATCAGCACCTTTGCTGCGCCGACCACCATCAGCAATCAGCTGGATACTTTGAAGACCGAGTTCCAGCAACTGCAGTTGACGAACACGGATGATAACAATCCAAAGCAATACAAGATGCCAACTTTTCAACTTGAGAAGTTCGACGACTACACGCATCAGGACCCGGTGCTCTGGTGGGAAACTTTCACAACGCAACTTCGGATTCTGCCTGTCGCCAAGCACGCGTACATCGGCGCCCTGTTCATGAACTCAAAGGGCGGATGCCAGATCTGGTTAACCCACCTGGCAGCCACCCACGGCGTCGACGTCGCAGATCTGAAAGACGATCACATGGGAAGAGTTTACACGGCTGTGGAAGAAGCGGTTCATCGTCGATGACGCACCTGCACTCGCCATCAACCGTCTCTTCACCATGACTCAAGGCAACACAGCAACACGTGACTGGCTCACGGAATGGCAGAAGATCGCCGCAACGCCCGAACCATTTCCGCGTCTGCACCGTGAGTTCTACAACAGGTTATGCGCTGCATTGAGCCAGGCACTTGGTGATCGCGAGCAGTATGCAACTTTCGCCGAGATTATTGACAAGGCGAGAGAGATCATCAACACCAACAGGGCGGCTGCACACGAGAGGTCAGCGTCGCAGCCAACCTATGTGGAGAAGGTGAGAACTGGTTCGCGACAGCAGCAGTTCGTTGCAGTCCAATCGGACACTGTGGAAGACCCGGCAGCCACCGAAGCGTCACGTGAGGGGGATCAGGTGGCTGTTGTCCAGCCGCGAAGCAACATCAAGCCTCGAGTGAATGGGAAGGCGAAATCAGCATCGGCGGCCGGAAATGGACAGCCTGCACCATCGTGGGTCAAGTTCGGCTTGACCGAGGCCGAGTACAAGTACCGCGGCCGTTACGGCTGCTGTTACTAGTGCAACAGCACCAAGCACAAGACCTCCCTTTGCCAGGATCAGGCCAAGGAGGATGTGCGGCCTCGTCTTAGCTCGGGAAACTGAGTTTCGCGGGAGGTGAGGCGACTCCACCTCCCACTCCGCCAGATTCGGCCGCCTTGCTAGCAGCCTCCTACACATCTGGGGAGGATGCGAATGTCGTACGTTCTCGGTATTCTTACGAGGACTATGCTGTCCACTTGGTCCCACCGCTGGACCAACCGCTCCACGGGCAACAATCTACCGCATGCACGGTTTCATCACCATCGGCAACCGATTCGGCAGCTTCGCCACCATCTACCGCCGGGGATTCAACGTCATGGTCAAGACTTGACGACATCGAGGAGATGGTGGTGTGTTTTCTTCATGCCCTCCCGCCCCATGACGCTTCATCGACGGACTCTTCTTCGGATCCACGCATCACCGAGCTTCTCGACGCCTACGGCGACGAATTCGAAGGCCCGCACGGAGTAGTACCAGATCGACCCATCCGCCACGAGAGCATCCTCGAGGACGGGGCCGTACCTCCACGCGGTTGCATCTACCGAATGAGCGAGGAAGAGTTAAGTGTGCTACGGGCACAACTCGACGATCTTCTAGGGAAAGGCTGGATACGGCCTAGCTCATCGCCATACGGTGCTCCTGTTCTCTTCGTCCGGAAAAAAAACAAGGATTTGCGGTTGTGCATCGATTATCGCTAGCTCAACGCGCAGACGATCAGAAACGCCGGCCCTCTCCCACGCATCGACGATCTTCTCGAGCGACTGGGCGGCGCCAAGTTCTTCTCCAAGCTCGATCTCAAGTCGGGATATCACCAACTCGAGATTCCGCAGGAGGATCGCTACAAGACCGCATTTAAGACGCGATATGGGCATTTCGAATGGCTAGTTATGCCATTTGGCCTTACGAATGCCCCGACCACTTTCCAAGCGGCTATGACAACGGAGTTCCGACACATGCTGGATCGATACGTACTTATCTACCTCAACGACATCCTGGTGTACAGCCGGAGTTTGGAGGAGCATGTGGAACACCTGCGCACCGTTTTGGAGCGGCTACGACAGGCCAAGTACAAAGCCAACCGCGACAAGTGCGAATTCGCGCAGCAGGAGCTGAAGTACTTGGGACATTATGTGACGCCGCAAGGCATCCGTCCGCTTGCGGACAAGATCAAGGCCCTACGAGTATGTCCCAAGCCGAACAACACCACGGACGTTCGTTCATTCATGGGATTGGCGGGCTACTATCAGCGATTCATCACCGGATACTCTAGGATTCCTGCACCTATGACGAGATTACAATCGCCAAAGGTGCCATTTGTATTCGATGACGATGCACGCCGGTCATTCCAAGCACTTAAGACGACTATGCTCATGGCACCCGTCCTTAGCATCTATGACCCCACCCTGCCTACGAGAGTGACGACTGACGCTTCCGGCTATGGCATTGGGGCAGTCTTGGAACAACACGACGGCGACGACTGGCACCATGTGGAGTATTTCAGCCACAAAGTGCCTCCCATGAACTCGCTTGATGATGCAAGGAAGAAGGAGCTACTCGCATTCGTCATGGCTCTCAARCGATGGCGGCACTTCCTCCTTGGGCGTCGTAGGTTCACATGGGTTACGGACAACTATCCATTGACCTACTACAAGACGCAGGATACGGTGAGCAGCACGATCGGACGATGGATGTACTTCATCGACCAATTTGACTACACACCGAAACATCTTCCCGGCCTCTGCAATCGCGCAGCAGATGCACTCTCGCGAAGACCTGATCTTTGCACTATGACACATCATGCCTTCGCATTCGACGAGGAGCTCCAGCGACACTTCATCAAGGGCTACGAGTCCGATCCAGACTTCGCCACGTTATATGCGCAGCTATCTTCGGATCACCCGCCGGCCAGCCACTATCGCATCGCCGATGGGTACTTGCTCCTGCACTCGCGGGGCAAGGACTTACTATGTGTCCCACGCGACCGCCGTCTTCGGACTCGCCTCCTCGGCGAGTATCATGTGTCGCGACTCGCCGGCCATTTCGGAGTCAACCGCACTATTACACTTCGACAGCGATTCCGATGGCCCGACCTCATCACCGATGTCACGAGGTATTGCGACTCCTGCGAAGTTTGCCGTCGAAGCCAACCCCGCAACCGCAACCCCTACGGCGAGCTGCGCCCGATGTCGATCCCGCAGGAACCTGGTCTCTCCATTGCCATGGATGTCACCGGACCATTCCCCCGCGACCGCCTCGGACACGACTTCATCCTCACGATCGTGGACCGATTGAGTAAGTACGCGCGTTTTCTTCCTTGCAAGTACTACTCCACAGCCACACCGGCTGGATTTGCGGCCATGGTGTACCGAAAGACATAGTCAACGACCGCGACACTTGCTTCATGTCGGCATTTTGGACTGCACTCATGCAGGAGTCCGGCACGAAGATGAAGCCAAGTTCGGCTCGGCATCCACAGACAGACAGGCAGACGGAGCGGGCACATCAAACCAATCAAATGATGCTTCATACGCTCATCCGTCCAGGCCAGAAAGATTGGGTTGACCGCCTCCACGACATCGAGTTCGCCTACAACACTTCGGTGCACCCGGCGATCGGCGTGACTCCATTCGAGTTGCACCACGGTGGACGGAAAGGCCGTATCTTCGCCAACCTTCTCCTCCCACGACCAGCCGACATCGATGACGCTTGCTCTCCCGCTTCCGTCCGGAAGTACAAAGAATTGCTGGCTCAAGCCCGCGCAAATATGCAAAAGGCTCAAGTCCGCATGCAGCAGCAAGCCAACAGGCATCGCGTGCCATGTCCCATCCGCGCCGGCGACCTCGTTTGGGTTTCCGCGGAAGAGTTTGCACTGGAACAGGATGTCTCACGCAAACTGCTTCCCAAGTGGTTTGGACCACAGCCTGTAACATCAGCCGCGGGCGATGAGCCCGATGGCCCTTCATTTGTGATCAACATCCCCCCGCATCTGACGGTCCATCCAGTCTTTCACGCCTCAAAGCTGGCAACATACACGCCACCTAAGAGCGACGACTTTCCGACCGACGATCGCAGGACCCTCCTATGGATGGTCATCAGGAAGTTGACCGCGTCATCATCGATCGCAAGTACGGCAGCAAGCCGCGACAGTACAAAGTGACATTCAAAGCCTGCGATCGCAACGACACTCGGTGGATTTCAGGAGCAGATTTGAAAGCATCCGCACCGCTGATCTACTCGCATTATGAGAAGCAAAGGTTAGCTCAGGAAGCTTCACGACCGGCCCCTCCCACCCGGACTGTGGTCCCTCCCTCAAACAGACAGCTTCGCCCTCGCAGGTAAGCTCGGTCTTTCAAGGAGGGGGGGGTGTGGCATACTACGTAGCCACACAGGCCCTGCAGGGCCCGTCCCGCATTTTCAGCCTAAAAGCATAGAAAATAGGGCTTACAGGCCCCGGTCGTTTCAGCCTGAAACTGAAAAACGAGGGCCTGCAGGCCCTATTTCGTTTTCAGCCTATTTCAGGGCCCTTCAGGCCCAAAGGCTTTTCAGCCTGAAACGGCGTTTCGACCGACCCTAGTACTCGGGCACAAAAACAGGGTTTCCGGAACAGGCCATCTTTAGCCTGTTCCCCACGACAGCTCGAGCAGGAGCTGCAGCTGCAGCCCCTGCCTCCCTTCAGCATTGGCAAGAGCAGCCTCCTGGACTGCCTCGCCTGCAGTCAGGAGGCACCCGGTAGTACATAGGAAGTCCCATGCACTTCACGGGTAGGTAGT